TACAAAATATAACGTGACACAACATGTCAGAACGACTCTTCATGTAGAAAGGAAGAAAATGTTTGAAGTTTCTAAAATTAAACAGCAGACCATACATGAATCTGTTGCATCTACTTCCACAAAAGATGAGCAGTTTCAGTTTAATTTCGATTTATGTAAAATGATGATCCAGTCCAATATACCTTTAAAAAAATTGGAGAAAGGCCCTCTTCAAGAATTCCTTGAAAAACACTGCAATCGACATATTCCGGTTGAAAGTACTCTCCGAAATAATTATGTAGGCCCAGTGTTTCAGCAAGTTTACAACGAAATTAAACATCGCATTGAAGATAATTATTTATGGTTCGCTGTCGATGAAACAACCGATAGTTGTGGAAGATACGTGGCAAGTTTAATTGTTGGAATCTTAAATGTTTATCTAAAATGTTAGATAAAGCAAATGGCAATACGATTACCAGATTTGTAAATGACAGTCTTACGTCACTATTTTTGCCAAATGCAGTACTGGCGATATTGATGATCTCGGATGCAGCTCGTTATATGTTGAAAGCAGGGAATAATCTAAAAATATTGTACCCTAATTTAATTCACTCTACTTGCATTGCCCACCGTTTAAACAGAGTGGCTGAAGGAATGCGTTTGCAGTTTCCTACTGTTAATAAATTAGTGGCAAATGGTAAAAAGATTTTTGTTAAAGCCCCACTAAGAGTGCAACATTTTAAGGAAAAATTTCCAAACATACCACTGCCCCCAGAGCCGATTATAACGAGGTGGGGAACATGGTTACAGGCCACATTTTATTATAGCAAATATATCAAAGAATTTGAGGAAGTAGTTACGGAGTTTAGCGAAGATTCTTCTCAATCGATTAAAGATTGCATAAATATTTTGGAAAACAAAGATTTGAGACAAGATCTAGCTTTTCTAAGAAGCAATTATCAATTCGTATGTGAGGTAATGGAAAAGTTAGAAAAACCCAACATGTTGTTGGTAGATGCCATAAACTTGGTGAAAGAATTTAAACAACAAGTAAACGCAGTAAGGGGTGATATTGGTACTAGAGTAGGTATCTCAAAAACTTGACGAAGTGTTAAACAGAAATGCAGGTTTCGGTGTTCTTTCCGACGTTGCTCGTTTTTTACAAGGCCAGAAGGTGGAAAATTTGGAGTTAGATTCAACATTAGTTGCAAAATTCAAATTTGCGCCAACAACGAGTGTGGATGTTGAACGCACATTCTCCAATTTTAAACACATTTTAAATGATCGGCGAAAAAATTTTACAGTGGACAATTTCTTTGCTTAAAATAAAACTTTTTTAATGAAAGTGTTATGCTTATTTAATGTTTTTTTGCTTAAAATAAAACTTTTTTATTGAAAATGTTGTGCTTATTTAAGCGCTTATTCTTAATTTTTTTGTGCTTATAAATCCGCTCTCTACTTATGACAGATCAAAGGAAAATGTTCTGTGATTCGTCATCGTTTGTTGATGATGAATCACGCACAATTTAAAATGTAAGATGGACCAAGAGGTTATTATGCAAGAATTATTTATCTCATCTGTGCTTTATACAAATATTTGCTCCCTTTTAGCTAAATTTAATGATTTTGTTTCTTTGGTCTGCGTAAACTGCCCAGATTTTATCCTAATTTCTGAAACTTGGTTAAATAAGGACTTGTCTGATTCTGTCGTAGCGTTACAGGATTATGAACTCTATAGATCTGATCGAAAGGGTAAGAGAGGAGGAGGAGTGTGTATGTATGCTTCTCGTAAGATAACTTCGATTTACAATAAGTTCAGTTATTGATGTTTCTATTGATGACATCGAAACTCTTTTTTTGGAGATATCGCGTGCTTCTTTCACCCTTGTTATTGGGTGTATATACCGTCCGTCATCTTCAAACCTTGGTAGTGATTCATCTTTGTACGATGCACTTTCTAAATTAGCAGACCAATATCCAAACTTTATCGTTTTTGGAGATTTCAATTTGCCACATTTGTCTTGGTAAGCTATCATTTCAAATACACCCACTACTTCAGACCAGTTATTTCAAAGTTTGATCCTAACATCCAATCCAGCTAGTTGACAAACCTACAAGGTTTCGACTACATCAACAGCTGTCTTTACTTGATCTAATTATATTATCGTCTCAGATTCAAATTTAATTTCCAAAATTAAATACGGCTCTCCGATTGGTAAATCCGATCATGTTACTATAGTAGCTGACTTTCAGATTTATTACAACAAAACCAAAAAGATCTCCACTAGAAGTAAGCTTGTGGTTAACTTCACTGTTGTGAACAATAAGCTTGGTCAAATAAATTGGGATGTAGTTTTAGTAGACTCCTCTGTTAATGATAAATGGTTAGGGTTTAAGACACTCATTAAAAGGGTTGTTTCAAAACATAGGTACTTTAGAATATAAGGTCAAAAAATCTGCAACTAAGCCATGGATGAATTCATGCATTCTAAAAATGATCAAAGAAAAAAGACGGTTATGGAAAACTTCTAAAAGAACACATAACCCCTCAAATTATATTACCCATGGGGCATTTTCCAATAAATTGTCGACTATAATAGATGAAGCTAAAGCCAAGTTTCAACGAGGTTTAGCTGAATCCAAGGACCCTAGGCGATTATATAAATATGTCAGATCCAAATTTACAGGTTTTGTTACTCAGCTTCAATTACAAAATGCAAACGGGGACTTTATAACTGACCACGCGGTTATTGCAGATATGTTTGCAGCTACCTTTTGTAATAACTACACAAAGAAAATATTTACTAATTTCCCAACTCTTACTAGGCCGCCTTATAGGGATCAGTTAAATGAAATTCAATTTTCTGAAGTAAGTGTTAAGAAAATAATTAGAACAATGAAAAAAACCACTTCTCCTGGACCTGATTTCCGCCACTGTTTTGAAAGAATGTTGCGATTTTTTAGCCAAACCTCTAAGCATAATAATGACTGCTTTCTTTACGTCTGGAGTATTGCCTGATAATTGGAAATCGGCGATTGTTACAAGAAAGATAACAAATTTCTACCTACAAACTATCATCCAATCAGTTTGACATCACTAGTGGTAAAAATAATGGAAGCAACTATAGGTATGTGACAACCTTCGTCAATTTCTTCTAACGCATAATATAATTCCAGCTGAGCAACATAGCTTGGTGAGAGGTAAATCTGTGAACACCAATTTATTATGTTGTATTAATGATTGGACAAAATATCTTGACGATGGAAGTTTCGTTGATGTCATTTATTTTGATTTTCCGAAGGCCTTCTATAGGGTGCCTAAAAAACGCTTACTGCTCAAGGTATCGCATTACGGTGTATCAGGACGATTGCTTCAGTGCATTGACACATTTTTGACAATTCGTTTTTTCAAAGTAAAGATTGCGGAAACTTTGAGTGCGAGCCAACAAGTATTAAGTGGGTTCCTCGGGGTTCCGTTCTGGGTCCTGTTTTATTTTTGATATATTCCGCTGATTTAAAGAATGATATTTCGTCCCCGATCTCATTTTACGCCGATGAAAATTTATAGTAATAACTATGGAGTGTTATCGAATGATATACAGAAAGTAATTTTATGGAGTAAAAAGTGGTTAATACCTTTAAACTTGAATAAGTGTGTTGTTTTACATGTAGGACAAAACAACCCAATGCTTGATTACTCCATAAATGGGATGCCTCTACTTAAAGTAGATTCTGTATCAGATTTCGGTATAACTGTTACATCTGACCTCTCTTGTTCTTCTCATATAACTAATGTGGTAAAAAAAGTGAACAGAATAGGATATTAAATTACTAAGGCTTTCGAAAAGGCTGATATGTTGACTGCCGTAAAACTTTATACTGGGTAGATCAGACCTATTTTGGAGTTTGGTGACTCTGTATGGTACCCTGTGCTGACTGGAGACAAAAACCTTTTAGAACGCGTTCAACGGCGTATTACACGTATACCTTTTAGTATTAGGCAACACTCCTATGAGCAAAGACTTTAATTGATGAATTTACCTGCAGTTGCATACCGCCAGCTCAGAGGTGATATTATAACTGCATTTTTAGCAGTAACTAACATTAGATCTCCGATTAACCATATTTATGTTTTAAATGTTGGAACAAAAATGCTAGGACACTGTTATAAGATAAAGAAAGAGTCCTTCCGATCCTTAACTCGACAATATTTTTTGTCTAATATAGTTTTCAATGTTTGAAATTCTCTACCTCATTATATTATTAAGAGCTCGTCTCTTTTAAGTTTCAAAATTAATTTTGATAAGTATATGGGTGACGACGATAAATGGATCTCTAGCCATTGATTAAACTTCATATTGGATCAATAATAATGACTGTTGTACGCGGACATAACAGGGATTTTCCTCTGCCCGATCGAACTATAATAATAATAATTAATATTACTGCTAGTGATCACTGTTCGAGCAGAACTAGACGCACGGTTTCCATGGCAACCGTGTAACCAAAACTTCTAAATGAGTCATGGTTTGGTCTCCGCTTTTATCAGCGTTGCAGCAACGTATCATATATCCAAGACACAACATCTTTAGATGTAAGTTTTGATACAGTTTATACAAATGGAGAGAGATAAAAAAATTAGTTTTGATAATTATTATGACACAATTTTCGTTATATGGTCATTATGACGCAGTAATAGATCACTTTAGTTAAAATTCGCTTAAAACCAATTTTTTTTCTGCTGTTTCTAGAACAGTTCAAGAAAAATCACTTAACTTATTGCTCATATTTTAATTGCATAAAATACATAAAATCCCCCGAGAATAAAAATATCAAAAAAAAACCTAAATTTTACTCTCCTTTACTACTATACCAGTAACTGGTTTTACTAGAAAACGAAATGACATCCTCGAAAAAAGTTCTACACAGGCTATTCATGTTTTGATAACTTAAATTTGGTCCGTTACGTTTATGATGAATATAAAAAGTGTGTTTAAAGTGGTTAAAAAAAAAACTTCAACTGAAAGCTTTCCGTTTTATTCCACACTAGACACTAAATATAATATGTTCTATTAAAAAATCACTCATCGCCTAAGCCGAAAAATTGTCGAAGCCTTTGAAACACCCGATGCCTGGTCAAATCCTCTCGTTCCGTCCTGGACTGAGCCGACACAAACAGGCATAACACAAACAAGATAGTCATGATCAGTAGAATATTTTTCTGAAACAACAAACTTAAATCATTTACCTGTTTAAAGCAGCGAAACAATTTTAACTACATAATAAATTCTCGTATTTCTAAACACTTTATCTTGTCTATTATATTCAGTGAAAATACGATCACACCTAAAATTAAATTTTAATACCATTACTTTCTACGTACCTGCAGCACAACTGTCATTGTAAATTTCTGCGAGTTGACTACGCCGATTTTTTTGTTTAGTGTGACCTGCTAAACGAAATGACGACACTGGACGTAAAGTACACTCAAAAGAGCCACTAACATTGAAATTTTACTATCACTTGATCTTTATTTGCATAACAAAATGCTTTTGTTGCCGCTTTATCGTTTTTAAAGTATCGCATGATTTTACTTGCCAGTGCAGTATTTGAAAACCAAATTCGTATGTATATGGTTTATTATTCTGCGCTTGGAGGAGTATAGACAAGCTGTGGGTGGATTTGGACGTCCAAAATAAAAATAAGGGCGGGTTAATAAACCACAAGTATAAACAAAATTTAAATAGGGTTTTAGAAATGAAAATTATTCCTTAAATATAAAATAAGTGAAAAAATGCTCTCGAGAACAGGAGAATTTACACTTAATTATGTTACTGTGTTTAATTAAAAATGTTTTTCGAAAAATTGTAAAATCTGTAACATACAAAATCGTGATTTTGGGTTTTTGTTCTTTTTTTATAGAATTACATAAACTCAACTCTTATCACCAACAGACTACTTAGAATATTCTGGAACTTAAAATTGACGTAACAGCCGTTCGTAATTATTTAATATATTACGTTTTAACGATTGCTTTTTGCAATTTTAAGTATATGGTTTGCGTACATGACATTTAGTTAGGCAAGTTTTAATATTTTGCACATTTCCAAAACTGTAGACAATGCTAAGTATACGAAGATAAGTTTAACGGGAAAACAACTTTTATGTTAGGAAAACAACTACAGATAAGATTGCTGCCTTTTTTTGTTATTTTTTCCGGAATTTTTTTAAGGTTATCGGAACCATGGTAAATCGTTAATCAAAATTTATTCGTTTATTCCCGTCCAAAAAATTGATGACGTTATCTCAAAATTTTGCCGAACAAATGCTCCCTGAAACATGCAAAATATTATAACTGTATAATTGTGGTTTATCAAATCAAGATTTTAGAATTACTTATAGAGACAGGGTGACTCAAAAAAAAAATGGGGCAATTTATTTATATTGTATTGATTAAAATCACGAACGACTTACCTCATTTTCCCGAAAATTTGGGAGTACAATACTGTTATCATTACTTTTTTTGTTTTTTCCTTTTCTTTATATTTTCAATTTTTAATTTTTCCATTTTTCAATTTATCCTTTCCTCAATTTTTCAAGTTATTGATTTTTACTTTTTTCTTCTAATTTTTCGTAATTTTAATTCAGTTTTTCAAATTTTTTGTCTTTTATTTTTCAATTCCTCGATTTTTATAATTTTAAAATTTTTCAGTTTTCGATAATATATGATGAAGCAGAAGGACAAAAACAGTATTCTGATTATTTAAGCCAACGTTTCGAGAACTATATTTTCTCTTCCTCAGGGCTAGTATTTTTTTAACTTAATTGTTTCATGGACCAGTTAATATACAACAAAGTTAAGTGAAATATTTTAATGAGATTACTAGCCCTGAAAAACAGAAAATATAGTTCTCGAAACGTTGGCTCAAGTAATTAGAATAGTGTTTTTGTCCTCCTGCGTCATCATATCGTATCTAATAAATTAATCATAATGGGTGTGAATTATTTGAATTTTTCAGTTTTACAATTTTTGGATTTTTCCTTTGTCCGCTTTTCCGATTTTTCAATATTTCGATTTACAATATTGTGTTTTTTCGATTTTAACCTTTCGACTTTTCAAATTTGTTTCAAATTCTTGATTTCCAATTTTTAGATTTTTCAAAGTTTTCATTTTATACCTTTTCGTTTCTTCATTTTTGATTTTTTAATTTTGTAATTTTGTAATTCTTCCATTTTGTGATGGGAAAAATGGAAAAATGCAAAGACCGAAAAATCTAAAAACCAAAATCGAACAAGTGGAAAATCAAAAAATTGTGTATCGAAGAACTAAAGAAACGAAAAATTGAAACATTGAAAAACTAAAATCGGGAAACGTAAAAATCGGAAAAAATCAATGAATCGAAAAATTGGAAGAAGAAAATACGAAGTGAATCGAAAAATTGGAAAGCCCAAAAACAGTAAACTCGAAAATTATAGAATCGTCAAAATTGCAACACTGGAAGGTCGAAAAATTGAAAAAGTTCCCAATAATTGAAAACTAGAAAGATTCTAAATAGTAAACTTGAGAAAATAAAAAATTGATAAAAATATATTTATTATTAATTTATTACATATTAAAAATCAGAAAAATAAAAAGAAAATTAATCTGTTTTTTGTCAACCTTATTGTAGCGGAGACTAATAACTAAAAATTGCAAACTGAAATACTGAAAAATCCAAAAATTTAAATTTTTCACATTGAAAAAATATAAATAAAATCGAAAATTCTAAGAAAAAGAAAATGTTAAACCAACGGGAAAAATTCAAAATCGAGAAACTGAAGAAATAAAAAATTGAAAAATCAAAAATTGAAAACTGGTCAAATCACAAATCGAAAAATTGCTAAATCTAAAAACTGAAGCATCCAAAAGCTGGAAAATCAAAAAACTAAGCAATTTAAAAATGAAAACTCAAATAGTTACATATCGTAAAATTGAAAAAACAAGAAAAATATTTGTTGAAAAATGGCAAATCGAAACATTAAAGAAACGCAACATTGAAAAAACTGTAAACTAAGGAAAATGAGAAACCTAAACAAAAAATTGCAAATGGAAAATTTAAATCGAAAAATTCCAAAATCTAACAATTGAAATTTAAATTTGAAAACTCGAACAAGTTCAAATCGAAAACTGGAGAAACCAAAAACTGAAAAATTGAAAAGTCAGGTAAAAAACGGGCTCTAATTTTATAGAGGTTATTAAAAAACAAATATTGCAAAATTTTTTATACTTTTTCAAAGAAATGGGATTTGTTAGGGTGTTCTTCAGGGGTGCGGGAAATTCTGTCGAACTAAAATTCGACCAGTTTTTTGTTGTTGTACTGTTCTAAGGTTATATAATAGAGTCATGGTTTCTCTAGAAATTAAAAAAAAATAAAATTTGTTGTAGCGCCATCTGGACGACAACGAACACTTCAACAACATGCTATCATAACCTCAAAATTTTATGGTACGGTTTTATATTTGTATTTTGTGCTGCAGTTGTCTGTTGTCAGCATGGAATTGGAATTATTCATTAAAGAAATTTATAAAAAATAAATCTTGTCTATTTTTCTTCTCTTCATGGATGTTCCGCCTTGGTTCCTCACGAAAAAACATTTTTACGTTTCCCTAAAGTAAGTAAACCTTATCAACATTTTTGTAGAGGCAACATTATCAGTAAATTTTATGAGTTATTTATAATACATAACCTAAAAATATCTACCATGTATTTTGGGTAATACATCAAACATTTTTTAAGTGTTACTAACGATATTTTGTAACTTCACAATAATTAACCTGATGATAAATACCTACATTTTGTGTATGGTTTCAAATTATCCTGTAATGATCAGTCCAAATGTATTCAAGTTTTCTTGAATTGTTTTACCCAAAAAGTGTTAACGTCTACGTGCTTGCTTGAATGAAATACACTTCACCCAGAGAGAAAAAATTTGTCACTGTTTTCTTTAAAATATTTCAGAATCTCCAAAAGAGATTCATTGAAAACTATGGCAGGAAACTAAATAAGAATGTTTGGTACTATTCTAAACGTGACATGTAAATTTTCATTTTTAGTATTGTAGATAAGATGTGTGCAATATATTTGAAGTTTACGCTGTACCATAAATGTGTACTTTAAATAATCTTTTGATTTATATTCTCCAGGCAAGCTTTAACTTTTTCAGTGTTTTAACAATATATTTCTCTGAACGTGTTATTATCATTACAGAACGCTTGCTAGAGCTGTGGATCATTTAAATGTATTAATATGATAACTTCCAAATTCATAATCGACGTTTAGTCACTGTTGTAGAGACTCATCTCTAAATGGTATAAATTCAATTCATTATACGGTCGAAGTAGGTCATGGAAACGTGCCGCCTCTCACTTTATATGGACTTTACTAAATGTCCAAGGACTCACACGCAAAATAAAACTAACTCATTACAACAAAAAAAAAACAAATTTATTGCGGTAAAACATCACAGTAATGTCGAAAACGTTCACCATTTTGCACTTGTTCACTCTTTCTTTGATTTCATAAATGTTCTGTAACATCCTTTCGTCAATATTTTAAACTCATGTTTCAATTTCATTTTGCAACAGGAACTCATCAACAACTTCCTTAGATACTCAAGGTCTTCCGGAAGATTTTCCTTTGTAGACACTGCCAGTTGGAACAAATCTGTTGATTACATTTCTAATGTGAGCCTCTGACGGTTTTTCTTGAATTATAACATCACGGTATTTGGCCAGACATTCTTGCTTATGAGTGGTTGCAGAATACAACCACTCTTCGTTTTCTAGCAAGTTTTAGTACCGTAATTCACACCCGAAAAACGTTAAAACAATAGAAAAGATGACTTTAAATGACAGGTTACAAATGACATTAATGGCAAGTGAGAACTATCATAATGAGGCATAATTTCGCCCTTAGAATCCCTTGTAAAAACCCTGTCCATTTAGCCAAACGAATTTTCACCGCTGTCCTTGTGTTAATCTTAATTTCTTAGTACTACCACTTGAATTATCAGTATTGTTTTGTTTAAGTAATCGAAAAGATTCGGCCAAAGTATGCAAAACTATTTAAAAGTAGTGAGTCAACAGTGAATTTTAAAATTTAACTAAGCTTATGCAAAAAATAAGGTGATATAATTTAAATACTACTACGTTAGACGATTTAAAATTTAAAATATTAGATACAGGAGTATAAAATGGAAGTCACTACTGAACAGTTGATCACTCGTCCATTTGTCGTCGAATAAAGATCTTGTCCTAAGAGCAAGGATGGTGAGGGTATGTACTGATTTTATGTTTTGAATTTTTTTATTTTTTTATTTTCTGTGTGATGGATAATTGTCCCTCTCTGTTATCATTGAAAAATATTGCTCTCTATTTTGCAAAAAACTGCAATAATGCTACTAAAACCTAGCTATTTACTAGATTATAATCGATATAAAATCGATGTTTTTTTGTTCCAGAAAGTCGTAATTTTTGCTATGGTCCTGTTAGCGGTACTGCTAGTGGCTGAATACAGTGAAGCCAATAAAAACGACGGGAAAAAACCAAGCACATGGAAAAGATTCGAGACATATTGTAAGAACCAAGGAAATTACTACAAGGGCAAAATCAAATGGCCGAAATTTGGGAAAAAAGGGACAAAGGGGAAAGCAACAATAGGAGGTACAAAAACTTACGGTCCTTAAATATTGCGAAAATGTCAGTGTTAAAATCTATGAGGATCTTATAATTTCTAATAAGTTTGGTAGTTAATCAAGTTTGTACAATTAATAAACATCTACTAGTAGTACGCATTTTTTGCCTTCCTCCTACGACACAGCGATCAAATTTTACAAAATTAAGCTTAAGTGGAATAACTAGTAACAAGTTGGTGTAATGCATATAAATTTAGTCAAAATATCAGTTGTCAAAATTGATTGTAATGGGGTCAGTTGCGGAGAGACGCTGCCGACTTTGTGTCAAAAATTTTCAAAAAATACATGAAGATAATAAAGATATACAAAAACACAAAAAAAACAAAAATGGAGAAAAAAATTAAATAAATTTATTACTAACGGATGATGGTAAATTATGAGTCTCATCGGATATTTTTCTGATAATATTTGTGGATTTTAGACATGGAATTGATTATAATTTTAAAACTAAAACTAAACTTAATTTAAAAATTCATCAAAAAAATTGAAAAAAACGTCATTTTCTTCTCTCGCACGAAAAATCGAAAGGAAAAAATTGTCCGAACTTACGCACACAGGAAAAGAGTGCATAAAAAATAAAATAAAATACTTACAAAATATGTAACAAGACGTCAAAAAAAAAAGATAAAATAAAAATAAGACAAAATTACCGATCAAATAACTTTCGTAAAAAGAGGAAAAAAATGTTACACCCAGTAAACTGGGTGTAACATTTTTTTCCTCTTTAGGCTTCTTCTGCTACAATTTAGCGAATCCCCTCATCTTCATTTACGAACCCACTGCAACAAAAAACACTTCACACAGGTTTAGTAACTAGATAAGATTTGATAAAAAATACTAATCAGAAAAGTTTTCAAACCACAATATAAATTCTAAGCAAAATTTTACATTTACGTCACGCGATTCCTGATGAATATGAATAGAAAAAAATGTATACCGGGTGTTTGGATAATGGTGGATTAACTCTCGAGTACGTTATGTGTCAATCTTAACACTTACTAGACCATGATCCATTTTATCTGCTCCGTATGAAAGATGAATCTTATACTGATGAAAAATAAAATCCTTAGAATGAGAACTACTCTGTTTTCCAAACAATTTTGAAATTTAAAAAAACAATAAGAATAATTTCAATGAATAATATTATTAATTGCAGTGATGGGTAAAACGTAAAAACGGTCCGTAATGAGATAAAAATTAAAACTGGCTTAAATTTTTAAACAATTAACATTGATAAAAACCAATTAAATATTCCAAATTATTTCAGCCGAAAATCCAGTGTTAAAGAATAAATGTCTGACGAGATATTAACATTTGAGTTATTTTCTCTTAACATCCGTATTTTTATATAAATTTAAAATAAAAGGATTGAAGAAATAAGGCACAATATATTGAGTAATAATAAATCAATATATGTATAAAGCCTAATAGCAACCTTTTAAATCCTAATTTCCTTTCCTTCCGCGCCGATCCTTGCAGACTCCTTCCTCACGAGCACATCACAACACTCACCTTTCACTTTAAGCCCGAAACCTAATTATTTTTGATAAAAATAAACCACTTAAACTAATTTACAGACGGCACACGCCCCCAACAAGTCAAAACCGACAGAATTACCGTGGTCCGCACAAGTGCGATCAATTGAAAATGTATTTAAAACAGATAACCAACGAGAAAATGGATTCTTAGTAATTAATTACATGATTAACTTAGAGTATTTATATACATGATCGTCGAAAGAATTCGATAATCACGTACAAAGATCAGCGGCCTCTTAAAAGACAATGAAATTTGATTGATTTTTTGTACTTAAACCAGAGAAGTGGACTGATTAATACAGCAAGAAAATTGACAACAATCAGTCCGGTAGTTTCAGTGAATACGTGTCTAATAAAAATGGATACAGACGCCAGACAGACAGACAAACAGGCAAACAGACAGACAGACGGAAACGGGAGGACTAGTTTTTTCGTACTCTAGGGATCATGAAACGTCGACAAAACATAAAAGCTTACTCCCAGGAAGTAAAAAGAATGCAGATGACGAACAGTTTTCTATACATTTTACTTACCTTAAATGTTTTACGTCAGTTTATTTGACGCAAACAAAACACATTTGCATAGAAATGTTTAAGTTATTCAAATTTTTATCAAACAAATTTCGTGTGCCTGTAAATCCACTCCCTTCTGTTTCCAGTTTTAGTCAATTTCCTTTTTATTTTAACAGAACTGCTTCGAGATATTTTTCAATTATTTATTTAAGTACTCACTTTGTACTGAGTACATTATAAAAACTCAAACAAATTTACAGTGTATGTTAAAATGTTGGGCGAATTTGTCTGTCTGTCTCCATTTTTATTAGACAAAATTCCAAAATTACTAGACCGATTGTTCCCAAATTTTGTATGTATATTATAAATATCATGTAGATGGTTAAGAAATTGGTTAAGAATTTGGTAACGTTATTTTGCAATATAACTTTGAAACTGCAAAACCGATTGATGTGATTTTTCATTGTATTAAAAGTTTTTAGATTTCTTATACAGGATAATTCATAAAAATTAATGAATGAGTCAATTTATTTTATTGTATAAATCGGGAACAGTTAACTCCTTTTTATCGAAAATTTTAAAATACAATACTGTTTGCATTAATATTACACTACACCGATCCAAAATAACATACGTGTTGATGACGTCATCACAAAATTTTGTTAAGAGAAAACTAGGCTAGCACGTTTCTTTATTTTAACTTATAAGGGTTCTCATAAAAAAAATTAAATTCTCATAATCAAATTTTATAATTTTTCAAAAAAGCTGAATTTGTTTTACTGTACTCAAGGGGCGAAGAAAGTTCTGTGGAAATAACTTAGGACCAATTTTCTTTTATTGGTAACTGTACTGTGTAAGCTTTACCGGTACGGCTTTTAGCGAAGAAGGAAGTTCCATGTAAATAACCGTAGACCAATTTTGATTTACGAGTATACGACGAAAAATATATATTTTTATTTTATTTACTAGGAAATCAAAGTTTTTTCTAAACCATTTACATTTGTTATAGGAAGTATTGGCCACAAAAGGAAAAGTGACAATGACGACATGAGACATATTGTATGTAAATGAAGATATAAAACTTTATTAGAACATTTTCAGACATTAGACGAAATAAAACACCAGGTATCTAAAATGTGTCGTTAAATTTATCGTGGCTTTAACGAGAAGCCAGTCGGTAAACGTTTCTGGTAAAACATGTGCCAAGAAACAGTGCTTCTATCTATACTAGATAAGGTTTATTGCGGCGTATCAAGTTTTAAAAACTTTAACAGCAACAAAATTACCATACTCGGTTAAAATTCAGCATATTTTAAAATTTTCATAAAACGTCGATAAGATTTCTCCCATGATTTATTTTACAATCGCATTTTGAAAAAACCTAGCCATCCGCGCCTTCCCATTTCTCACATTTAACAAATCTGTCGGCTAATCCCACGAAAATTGGAAACAAATTACCACAGATGGTACGCGATAAAAAATTTTTCTTTATTTATGCATTGACAGCGAACATGTACTGAGCAGTATGATATTTCATCTCCTCGAACCTTACCTTAAATTTTGAAATTTATCACTGTTTCGCTCCGCATACTTTCATCACAACGAAGAAAAAAGCATCAACGGTTGCCATATATCATTCGCTATCTCAAAATATTCAAACCGCCGCGAGCCCATCAGATAAAGGCAAACAAACAAAAAAGAGAATATTGCGAATAGTTAATAGTGCACGAATCTCATTTACACAATACCGAGTGATTTAGAAATCAATAACCGCGTCCGCATCCCATACAGCCGTCATTACACGGAATCCTCTTATCTGAGCGATCTGAAGAAAGAAAAAGTGCTATCAAGTGGCTTTCGGCTAACGGTTTCTCCCGTTCCGTTGTTTTTTTATGATTTATGTCCGTTTGGCTAGGAAAAAACCGTTTATTAGAGAATAGCCAACACGCGTTAGATCGCCCAAATCTGATTGATCGCAATAAATTAGCTTTAGTGGCTATTAAATGGCTAATAAATTCGTTTTTGTTAATCGCTTGATTGTCGGTTGTTGGCCGAGAGTAATTTCTTAATGAGTGGTGTAAATTCCTGCGGAATGTTATGATTCAAGTGATTATTGTTATTATTCTGCGGAGAGGAATAATGGCCTCGCTGGCCCACGCTTTTCGCGTTTATATGGTGCATTACAAGGCACTATGTCGTGTCCTGGTGAGATCGCAGGTGTTAAATGGAAATTTCTGTGTGAGGCTGCCGAAAAAAGCTACTTGGAAATACTAATGGGACACCTTATTACGGACGATGCGGGATGACTGGGGTTTTCGCGGAGCACGCTTTTGGGCAAGGACTGAGGCGCTTTGGGACATTCGGCTGGAAATTCACTAAATTATCACACACTAATTTGTTTACAGTGTTGTAATCTTATTTTTGGCACTTCCGGGATTGAATACCCACCTAGTCTAAATAGTAACAAAACAACAAGGCAAAATAAATTTCTAAACATCAAATTTTGTATGTGCTGCTGGTTGATTTTGAAAAGACGAATCTGAATACAAAGAAGCTACTCTTAAAACAATTTGGAATACTACTTCGAAATTAGTGCAAGACTTGTATTTCAAAAAGTTTAATATAACAATGAATTCTTTCATGGATATCGACTTTGAGAGTGCACGTAAAGCCAGAGACTCTAGACGAAAAAGCTGCAGGATATTCCCGGAAAAAGGAAAATTAGTTCATGTGCTATTGACGAAGTAAATTACAGGAATATGATTAATCATTGGGACGAAGATACTCCTTCGGGGTTACAGAAAAAAATGTATTTAATTGCTGCAAAGGAATTAGCATGGAATATAATCCAATTTTTTCCAAGACTCGGCAAGGGAGTGCAAGTCTGACATATGAAAGTAAATGGTTAATACCAAATAGAGAAAAACCAGTTGCACCCGAATAATGTTCCGTGTATTCTTTTGGATTTTATGAAGACCTAGAAATTGTGCAAACTGTTCGGGAATTGTTGAAAAAGTGTTCACTTCTCCAGAGGTTGTACCGTTC